ATATTTGTGGCTGCTAGCCCCGTACCAGGAGGGGCAGATTAAGGACCCCTGGTTTGAGGTCCCAGATAATATTAATTTTGCTCTTAAAATTATCTTTTTCATTTTTAAGTTTCTTCAATGTGATACCAGAGTATGACTAGGTTGACTTTTTAACACACTATAATAAGGGGGGAGGGCATTAAGTAATGCCAGTGTAGTCATACCTGTAAAAAAAAAAAAAAGGAAATTCTACATGTGGTTTATTTGTGTACAAGCCGTATGTGAATGTTTCACAAAGTGGAAAAGATCAGCCATTAATTTTTTTTATGTTTCATAAAGCCTTTTGCCTGTATAATAAATAAATATCCCTCCTAAGGTCATATGCATAGGTAGCTTCCCTTTGATCCCTGTGGTATTTTAAAGAAGAAAACAAGGAGATAGTGCATTTTAAATCAAAATACTGAAATATTATATCTTCATTACATATTTAAACTTGCAAAAACATAACACATTTTTAGATTTTATCATGCCAGAGTTTATTGTAGAGTTTTGCATTGTATCAAATTAATTATACCTATCAAAAAAAATATTTACCCTAAAATGAGCTACCAACACAATAGCTCTATAAAAATAATTCTTATTTCAATCTTCCAATTCGTTATGCAGCAAAGTTTGATTGAATCCAGTACATGATGCTCCCCTCTTAGCCCATTAAAGCAATATCCACATTAACTTTTTTATTTTAATAATTCATTCAATGAAAAAAAAATTATGCAAGTACACAATAATTATCTTGCTGCTATGAATTCAAATATTTTTTTAAAAATTTTAAAATAAAGATAAATATTGATTTGAAGAGATTTCAAAATAAAAAATGGCATCTAATTTTTTTTTTTTACAGTATGCAGCAATAAATCGTGTAGATATAATAATTGTGAAAAGCTTGCGGGAAGGTCTTACAATAAATCACTGACCAATCATGTTTGACGACACACAATTTAAACCATTTCATAATTTTATTGTCTTCTGGTATAAGTAATATGTGAACAAAGGAAGGGAAAAAACTCCCTGCGTAGCGTACTCATCAATTTAAAAAAAATTACTAAAATTCATGATTACATTATGATCAAGTTTGTGTCAATAATCAAATTTAGCTAACAGTGCATGCTAACATCAGAAAATTTGTTTTTAATTACTTCAACTTCAGGGTTAAAAATAAAATATATTATGCGATAAAAAGAAAGCAATAAGTGCATGATGAACATAAATATATTCAAGGTATATTGGAATGTTTTATTAATAGTATACCAAAAAACAATTAACCATTTTCAAGTCAAACAGGTATTCTGGAAATATAAGTTGCTTTCTTCAGATGTCACAGGATTTAAATTTAAACAAAATCATTTGCTTTAGAGTGTTTTAAAATTTATTCCATTATAAAAAAATATATGTATTTTTTTTTTAAATTCCAGAAACACTAAACATAATATATTCTCATACAAAAGGCACTTTCCACTCAAAATAAACAAATTACCCAAACTAATTATTTGTGTTTTTTTTTAATTGATACCAGCCAATGTCTGCAATGTGGTCAACCTTCACATACAGAATGTCCACATAAGAGGAAAATATCACTTAATATCAAGTGATATCATTTATTAAATTCATTATTACCTTGACTTTGCCAGAAACTGAATAAATTTGTTATTAAATATTAACTTTTGATAAAATATTTTAACAAACAGAATGAATATTTTATAAATGCCTAAACTTATGATATATCCTGGAAGTTTATAAGAAGGAAGCAAACCTGTAGGACAAACCTGAGAGTGGAGACCTGCAGGTGGCATGATATTTTTCAACTCAGAAATTTTGGGACCTTCCTGCGGTTGTATTGAAGCCTTTTGTAAATTTTTCAGCGGGTATGCTCTGAATAAATAAAGCTGCTGAGAGGGGATACAGAGGACAATAAAAGATTCCTAATGCTACTTATCCTCCAAACAATGTGATCTTCCAAACATCAATTATAAATAGTGCATGGTTAAGCTGAAACAATATTTTTGTTAGTATTACATTTATATCATCATATTGTGCTTGTAAATAATTTCTAGTATACCATACGTTTAATGGATGAACTGAGATCTAGTTTTTAATTTCCACCGAGAATTTTTTTTTTTTTTTTTTTAGCCGTAAATTTCAACGGCAAGAAGAAAACAAAATATAAATAATCAAAAATAACCAAAAGTTTACACAATCAAAAAAATGTCAAGGACATGATAATATTAGGATTATAAAATATTTTTAAAAAAATTGGATTTTTTTTTTTTTTTTTTTAGCCGTAAATTTCAACGGCAAGAAGAAAACAATATATATATAATCAAGAATAACCATAAGTTTACACAATCAATAAAATGTCAAGGACATGATAATATTAGGATTATGAAATATTTTTAAAAAAATTGGTTGGGAATGCTTTCAGTTTGGTTATTTGACACCACTGGTTTAAGAAATCAAAACACTATGGATAGAGAAAATAAAATAGAAATCAATTTCAATTAAAATAAATTTTGGTCCATCAAAAATAAAATGCATCCTTTGAACTTGAAAAATAATTTACATTTTTTTTCTTCAAAATATGCTCTAAATGCCATGCATCTATCTCAAGCCTTTTGAAACATTTATATGTTATAATATATTGATTAGATAATTGTGACTGCTCTGTAAATAAGAATTATGAGATTTAAGCCTTATTTATAATTCCCTACAGAAAATACATTTTAATATCAAATGAATATCTGCCAAAAAAACCAAGCAATAAAATCAAAATTATAAATTCAAGTTTAGCAAAAGTGTGCAGTGCTCTACACAAGAAATCATAGACATTGCCACGGAATGATTGATAGTTTTTCTTCACTTATAGCCTAGCTAAATAGACTGAACATCAAACTACTCAATAATGTTGAATTTTCCAACACTCATGAAATATTCTCATACAGTTGAGCACATATTAATATATTGCATCTTATTTAAAGTGTATTATGCCCACACACACAAAATTTATAAATGCTAACAGTCAGATACAAATTTTGACATAACTTTTAACTTCATCAAATGTGTAAAAAAATTATCATACAAAAAATAGTTTCAACATTATGCTGAAATGATATAGATAAATATTCCAAACAATTTTTTTTATCAATTGTCATTTAGACTTTAATTTTTTTTAATGGTAATCACATTCACAGAGGGGAAAAACTGACCAAGATAAACCAAAAAAGCCATAAAATAAGTATGTAAAATTTAAAGAATACATATTTATCATGAGTTGTGAAAATTAAGAATTAATGATGAGCTGATATATGACATAATTATAATCTTAGATTAACTAATGTATTGTAAAATATTTCTTCTGTAAAAAATATGTTTAAAACAAGTCTCAAAATATTGTATAATTTACATTAGCACACACTATTGACTTTCCTCTAGAATTATCTTGGATTAGTATATAACATTTGTGTCTGTCTGAGTTCAGCAAAAGGCAGAAGTTAACTGGACTGAGATTTCTATTATTGCAAATTTAAACATTGCTTCATAAACATACAAAACAATTGCATTATATACAAATTCTTTTATAAAAAATAAATAGTGGAACAAGATATCTTTAGGCTTGAAAAAAAAGATATGGTAATGACAAGATTCCGAATTCTTGTAATTGTCTTTTAATTATAATTCTTGTTATGGTAATGTTGTTGTTTTTCAAGCTTAAACATATCTGGTTCACTATTTATTTACTTTGCACTGCTTGGAAGCAATCCCTCATATATTATCCTTATAAAAAATAATAGCACAGCAATGCTTAAGATAGCAATGCAATGAAAAGTTACAAATCTTTTCAAATGTCTTGCATTGTGATTAACATGGAGCCTTCATTAAAACTGAAATAGCAGTTTCCGGTAAGCTTGTTACCTTGCCAATTTTTGAAAAAAAATTAGACCAAAAGTTTGAATTATGCGTGCACACTGGCAATCATCAAAGTTCATCTGAAAAGTGCGTGTAGAGACAGCAACTCTTCTCAATCCATTTTTTATAAAACGGAATTCCCCCTGATGATTTAGTGGACAGAGTTTATGGGATATTTCTTATTAATGAAGACAAGGCACAGTTGCTTACACATCCAGCTAAATGTTAAAATAATGAACAATGACATGCGAACTTGAAGTTTATGAACAATCAAGTGTGAAGTAATATTACTAAAAACCAATGATAACCTTTACAAGTTTTGTTGCCCAGGGCTTCAATATTTACATACGTATTTATAAGTTCAAACATTTTTCATTCAAACATCATACATTCCAAAATAAGCAACTTAAGCACATATACTAGTAACTATTTGGAAACAATTATTCATGGTGTACTGAAAAAAGTAATTTCCTAACTCAGTGTTTAGAACCCAAATATTTTATACCCAATCAGCCATCTACTCTCCTATTTTACCATAAATTTATCACAATTGTTAACAACTTAGAAACTTTCTTGAGATTGATTTTTTTTTAAAGCATATCTGCTCATATATTTATATATATATATATATATATGTATATATATATATATGACATGATATTTATATATATATATATATATATATAATATTTTACTATATATTTATCACAATTGTTAAAAACTTAGAAACTTTCTTGAGATTGATTTTTTTTTAAAGCATATCTGCTCATATATATATATATATATATATATATATGTATATATATATATATGACATGATATTTATATATATATATATATATAAAAACTAGTAACTGTAACTTGAGTTGCAAATTTGTCTAAGTTTATTTGTACTGAGATAAACCTATGGGTGAAAAGATTTCAATGTGACAGGATATTTATTACATAAAGGTTTTACTGACCATTTTGACTCCCCTTTAACTTTTAACTTAACATCATTTTGACACCTCTTCACTTGATGTCTTTTATCTCCCTTATCCTTGGATTGTAATTAATTTTTTTTTTAAATCTAATTGAGTACAATTTTTACCCATTTTCCCAATCCTAGAAAGTTGAAATTTTGTAAGTCATATTAAACTATTTTAATTACTAAAATGCCAATTTTATTAAATGGAACCAGGTCATCGAATCTTATGAAATATGACTACTAAAAGTTTTATTGTTTTGCTAACTTTAACTCTAAAGATTCATTCTTTGCTGATGCATTAATAAGAAAAGGAAAAAATTTTGATATTCAGGATATATTTATATTATATATATATGTGGGTTCATTGTGACATGTGAATTATAACTATTTTTAACCATTTTCTGTCACTAATTTGAAAATTGAAAAACTGATTTTTTAAGACTGAAATTTTATGGAAGAAAAGGCTACTTCTTTGTAATAAAAAAAATTCTGATAATCTAACTTGTAACTTCCAAAAATATAGATGGTCTATGAATTCCAAAATACAAATGAATGATGGGAATGAAAAATGTTATTCCAGATCCCACAAAACAGTAGGTCGTAAACTTGTATGCAGTCATGACACCTGGAAATGTTTTGTCTGGTTTGTCCAGCCCATAGACATAGGAAAAAAACCTGATGGATAAGAATCTTGCAAAAGTTTGCATTAAAAAAATGATAAACACTCCGCTCACAAATCTAAGCAAAGCCATACCCACCCAACCCCAGGTTGGAAACATGATGGCATACGGACCAGTGGAGTCAGACTCTTGGGAGAATCCAAGCTGGTAGTTCATCCACTGGCCCAAGCCGACACCGGCCAGAGCCGCCACAATCTGCACGGCGTCACCTTTACAAGAGCTCTTGTAGGTGCTTGGGTAGCAAACCGTGCACAGTGCCAGGGATGTGAGCAAGACGACAGGAGCAGCGATGAGGTGGGTCTGCTGATACAGATCATAACCCTCCACATACTTCATGAAGGAGAAGAAAATGAGCAACGCATACACAAAACCAGCCAAGAGGTCCTGAAAAATTGCAGCAACAAAAAAAATGGATTGATTAAGGTATCTTGAAAATATTTTCAAATAATAGATAATATTAATATACTTAGTGTTCTTAGAAACTTCGGATTAGAGGAGGTCTAAGACAAGGAGACTCGCCGTCTTGTGTGTTATTTAACCTAACAGAGAGAGTTATAAGAAGCATACATATTGACACCCGAGGAACAATAACAGGATACTTTCTGAAGGAAACCCAAGACCCTCAACCAATGGGACACTCTACAATCAACCTCTTGAGTATCTTGCATTTGCTGATGACACAGCACTGCTAGGGGAAAGTATTAAAGACATATCAAAAGCCATTATTGAATTAGAAGACACATCACTACAAGCAAGGCTGGAAGTTATTAACCACAAAACAAAATACATGACTATGATAAGAGAAGAACAGATAGATGAAGCCATTAAAATTAGAGACCAGATTTTTGGAAAAGTAAATCCATCAAATATCAGCCGGAAACACAGCATACTTTAGTATATTAGTAGGCACAAAATACTCAAAAGTAAAAACATTACACAAAAAACAAAGAAAACTTTAATATTTACAAAACTGTAATCAGACCAGTTGTAACATACACAAGTGAAACTTAAACCCTAACAAAATTGGCATAAAATATATTAAATGGAAGAGAAAAGTTCTCCGGAGAATAAATGGATTAACAAAGGATGATTATGGATGGAGAATACCAACCAGGAATAGTACAGTCTATATCAGGATCCCACCCTAGTACCAGAAATAAAAAAGGATAGAAAGAATTTCAAATGATGGAGGAGTGAAGAGGGTACACCACCAAAACCCCAGAGGAAAACGGCTCAAAGGCAGACATAGACTTAGATGGATGGATGATGTGGGAAAAAGAACTACAGCAGCTGGAAATCCAAGCATGGAAAAAAAAAATGCTTTAATTATGTCTGAGTGGAAGGAAATAGCGAGGCAGGCCAAAGCCTTACATGGGGTGTAGCGACACAGGGATGGATGTTCTTAGAAACTGGGATATCTCTACCAGATAGTATTCACCTTAGATTAGGATAGTATGAACTTTAGACCAATAGCTGGCAACTAGGCCTTTAGACCAATTGCTGGCAAGTAGGCCTTTAGACCAATCGCTGGCAACTAGGCCTTGTGGTGCAAACCTTTAGAATTATCTTAAATCACTTAAAATGTAAATAGAAAATTTTATGTTGAACAAAAAATGTTGGGCCAATGCAATTTTAACAAATAATTTAAAGTATATTGTGGTTACCTTTTTAATAATTACTTAAGTTGCTTTAATCAAACCTTTTGATTAGAAGTGTTACAAAGTTAGGATTGATCTTTAAATCTCAGTTTGTTTCCTACTTTTGCAAACCACAAATTTATATTTAATCATTTTTCTTTGAAAACTTTAATGTCTTTTTTCTTCTTCATTTCTTTAAAAAGGAATTCTAAAGCTGTAGGATAAGCCCACATTGTAGACAGGATTTTCCACTACAGATTTTTTTTTAAATTGGACACTAGAGAATTATATTGACGGTAGAGGGGAGGTAGAGACACATACACGTTTTATAAAAAATAAATGTTAAGATGGGTTGGTAAAAAGCAGTGAAAGAGAAGAAGCCATGAGACCTGGGACTTGATCCTTTTATCTCCACCTTAACTAAGAATTGACAAGAGACTGTAGTCCCTGATGGCCAACCACAGCTACTTTCAATGTGCTGCAATGAATTAAGACCTACCAGAATTGAATGTACGCCCAGGTACAATCGGCTCCAGCAAGTTATGGAAAACCACAGCAGAGCAATTGGTGCTGCCACATAGACAGGAACCTAGAGCAATTAAAATAAATACCAAAGGATAACTTTCAAAGAGACATCATGAAAAAATTATTTAAAAAATAATCGTATCTTTAAAATTTACTTCAATCTAGCACATTCTGTTTTATGGGAGGAGGTCTGTCAGGTTTGGGGTATGAGGCATGGTCAGTTGGGTTAGGGCATCAACTAAAAGATAGCTCATCATCGCCAAACAATATTTGTAGCGGTGTATCCACAGTAGCAATGTTGGACAATTATTCTCACTTTTCATATAGACTGAACTACAGACAGATTTGACCTGCCTTACCACAGACAGATTTGACCTGCCTTACTACAGACAGATTTGACCTGCCTTACCACAGACAGATTTGACCTGCCTTACTACAGACAGATTTTACCTGCCTTACAACAGACAGATTTTACCTGCCTTACAACAGACAGATTTTACCTGCCTTACTACAGACAGATTTTACCTGCCTTACTACAGACAGATTTGACCTGCCTTACTACAGACAGATTTTAACTGTCTCACTACAGACAGATTTAACCTGCCTTACAACAGATAGATTTGACCTGCCTTACTACAGACAGATTTGACCTGCCTTACAACAGACAGATTTTACCTGTCTTACTACAGACAGATTTTACCTGCCTTACTACAGACAGATTTTACCTGCCTTACTACAGACATATTTGACCTGCCTTACAACAGACAGATTTGACCTGCCTTACAACAGACAGATTTGACCTGCCTTACAACAGACAGATTTGACCTGCCTTACTACAGACAGATTTTACCTGCCTTACTACAGACATATTTGACCTGCCTTACTACAGACAGATTTTAACTGTCTCACTACAGACAGATTTAACCTGCCTTACAACAGATAGATTTTACCTGCCTTACTACATACAGATTTGACCTGCCTTACAACAGACAGATTTGACCTGCCTTACTACAGACAGATTTTACCTGCCTTACAACAGACAGATTTGACCTGCCTTACAACAGACAGATTTGACCCATCTAACTACAGACATATTTGACCTGTCTTACTACAGACAGATTTGACCTGCCTTACAACAGACAGATTTGACCTGTCTTACTACAGACATATTTGACCTGCCTTACAACAGACCGATTTGACCCATCTTACCACAGACATATTTGACCTGTCTTACTACAAAAAGATTTGACCTGCCTTACTACAGATAGATATGGTCAATAAATATGATGAGTGTGACCTTCTACTGTGCGTATCAAATGGCAACATGCCAATTTGGCCATTAATATAGACTATCATATATCAATAATATGTATTTACAAAGATTACATTAGCCATAAGAATAACACAAGACTTATGTGAATTTTCAAAAAGCATAAAATTGGGTGTTGGAACAATTCCAGGCAAACCTAAATGCTCCAGTAATAATGCAATATATTTCTTGACCAATAAATCGGAAGTGAAAATAATTTTTATTTTTATTTATTTCACTTAAGAAAATGAGGTGCAATAATATCCCACACACAAGATAATGATTCATGACTTGATTGTACTGAATTTCAAACTTTCTCACTCTAACTAGTAATCAGATAAAAATAGTATCCTAATACTTATTCATAAACATGTGATAAAACTTTGGTATCAGATAAATATTATGTTAATGAATAGACCCAACTGTAAACAAAAGATCTAAACTTGGTCAACGTAGAAAAAAAATCATTTCCTAATCTCACGTGTCTATCAAGGCTACAGATAGAATTGTATTGTCTGGATGTTCTATCTCAGCCCATACGAGATGTAAAACTTTAATTATAAAACATCCGATCTTTGGCTCGATGTCAATCACTATTTTTTTTAAGAGCCCAAACTTGATGTGATGTACTTAAACTTAAATACACCACCACATGTAAATATGTCTTTTAAAAGTAAAATTTGAAACTAGCACTTGATGAAAGTTGTTCAAACTATCAGAGTCAGAATGGCAATAGGACCAGGTCTTAACTCATCTGTGCAATTTTTTATGTCCAACCCACCTTTTCAGAGTTTGAATAGTATATGTTGAAAAGGAGGATGTTTAAGGCTTCTCTTGAAGGCCATATCTAAGTCTTTGCTAATAAGTAGGCTTCTCTTGAAGGCCCTATCTAAGTCTTTGCTAATAAGTAGGCTTCTCTTGAAGGCCATATCTAAGTCTTTGCTAATAAGTAGGCTTCTCTTGAAGGCCCTATCTAAGTCTTTGCTAATAAGTAGGCTTCACTTGAAGGCCCTATCTAAGTCTTTGCTAATAAGTATCATTTGAAAAAACAGTTTGTCTGGAAAATGTGTTAAATTCACAATCTCTGACACAGTCAGTCACACAAAAAAGCCATCTATCTTTTTCTAATTTTAATGTTTGTGTTTACAAAAACAGATACAGAACTTCATGGGGATATAGAGTTTATACTTATAGACAGTAGGGGGTATAGACAGTTTATACTTATAGGTAGTATGGGGTATAGAGAGGTGCAAGACAAGAAAAAGTAATAGAATGACTTGGTAGGATAATCCTAAGATAGGACTGTTCACTTTACCTGATATCTTTCCACAACCATAAAAGCCAGATAGAGAGGTATAGCTGTGCCTGCCATGGCATGAGTAGATGGCATCGAGTACTCCTGGATATAATGTGTTTCAAGACGTACTACAGGTGGGCATGGGGGGCGTGGCCAACACAGGTAGTCTTTTGTAGCTTGCCCTAGGTACATCACTACACACCACAACATGGCCACCTGATTTGTTACAAGAACATTTAATTCATTTCAAAACTACTTCAATAAAATTTTTAAAAAATATTGTAAAATAAATTTTTCTTTTTTTCCAATAGAGCAGAATTTGTTCACACACTTAGCCTTAAGGGCATTCAGGTGGAGAGTTTTGTATGCCCACACAGTAAAACAGGTTTTTAAATTTTTTCAAGCGTAAAGATTTTAGCCATACACCTTAAGGCCAAACTCTTCCCAAGTGAATGGAAAATTTAATTTCTGTGTGGCTATGTTGTCAGAGATAACATGCCAGGGACTGCTTACTGTGATAATTAGAGCAGATCCAGATAGGTAAATATGAACTGTGACATTGTTACACTCAAAAGCTGACAGTGTGGGTTAAGTAAATAACTCAAGACCTGAATGATCTGAATGTTTCAGCCTGAAGCCAGTGTACCATGACACAAACATTCCTATACACTTAAACAATATGGAGATAAGGTTTTAGTTTCCCCATTTACAATATTCTCTTGAGTCATAAACAGCAAGATTCTCACTATGTAGGGCTCTATCTAGTGCCACATCACTTTTCTCTGCTCATAGGTTGCTGTTGACTGTAGGCCTACATTAACTCAGCTAAAACAATTTTGAATCAATTTACTGATTCGGTCAAATAGAGGGGTAACAACTGTAACATATTTACTATTTGAGCATTCAGACATTTGATTTCACACCACTCACCAGGTAACTGAAATGATGCCTAATTTTTGTGCACTTGCCTCTTGCCAAAAAGGCAACTACGAATTTACCTTGAGGGTATATAACATGGTAAGCTTGATCCTATTTGAATATTTGGTTAAATCTTAGACACAAAGGCTGAGAAGAGATTGAAACTGACTAACGTTTAACTACAGAAGAGCTAAAACAATGGCTAGAGCAGGGGTCTTCAAATTTTTTAAAACAAGGGGCCGGATCAGTGTTCTCACTCAGCTTAAAAAACATGACCAAATCGAGCAGATTTATCAGAATTAATTACTCCAAGTACTCAGTAAAGCAAAACTAAAAATGCAATGTTTTAATGTTTATTTTAATTGGCTGATATGATTTAAGCTATTGTTAGGATTTTTTATATAATTTATGCCATTGTTAGGAGTGTTGATAAGATTTAATCTATTGTTAGGATTGTTGATATGATTTAAGCTAACTATTGTTAGGACTGTTGATATAATTTAAGCTATTGTTAGGATTGTTGATTATTATTATTGTACAACAATAGCTTAAATCATTTGTTGTAGCATTGTTCCTGTGGTCTTCATTTAAATCTTTCAGGACCTAGAAATATTTTAACATGACATGGTGGCACTAAACAGATGAAAGGATAGCGCTTAACAGATAAAAGGATAGTACTAAACAGATGAAATGATAGTGCTAAACAGATGAAAGGATAGTGCTATACAGATGAAAGGATAGTGCTAAACAGATGAAAGGATAGTGCTAAACAGATGAAAGGATAGTGCTAAACAGATGAAAGGATAGTGCTAAACAGATGAAAGGATAGTGCTAAACAGATGAAATGATAGTGCTAAACAGATGAAAGGATAGTGCTAAACAGATGAAAGGATGGTGCTAAACAGATGAAAGGATAGTGCTAAACAGATGAAATGATAGCGCTAAACAGATAAAAGGATAGTGCTAAACAGATGAAAGGATAGTGGTAAACAGATGAAAGGATAGTGCTAAACAGATGAAAGGATAGTGCTAAACAGATGAAAGGATAGTGCTAAACAGATGAAAGGATAGTGCTAAACAGATGAAATGATAGTGCTAAACAGATGAAAGGATAGTGCTAAACAGATGAAAGGATGGTGCTAAACAGATGAAAGGATAGTGCTAAACAGATGAAATGATAGCGCTAAACAGATAAAAGGATAGTGCTAAACAGATGAAAGGATAGTGGTAAACAGATGAAAGGATAGTGGTAAACAGATGAAAGGATAGTGCTAAACAGATGAAAGGATAGCACTAAACAGATGAAAGGATAGCACTAAGCAGATGAAAGGATATCACTAGGCAGATGAAAGGATAGCACTAAACAGATGAAATCATAGCACTAAACAGATGAAATGATAGCACTAAACAGATGAAAGGATAGTTGAACAGCTGAAAAAAAACCGTCTGATCAAGATAATCTAATAATAGGTTTTGATCTGTCACCCCCCCCCCCTCCTACACCAAATAACTTTTCTTTTGCTTCTGGATTAACCCCTGTATTAGCTTTACTCTGCATTTAATTAGGCACACATAGATAAATTCACCCTAGTATCATAAGGCAAATCCATGACAATGTTATAGCACCCTAGTATCATAAGGCATATCCATGACAATGTTATAGCACCCTAGTATCATAAGGCAAATCCATGACAATGTTATAGCACCCTAGTATCATAAGGCATATCCATCCATGACAATGTTATAGCACCCTAGTATCATAAGGCATATCCATGACAATGTTATAGCCCCCTAGTATCATAAGGCATATCCATGACAATGTTATAGCCCCCTAGTATCATAAGGCATATCCATGACAATGTTATAGCACCCTAGTATCATAAGGCATATCCATGACAATGTTATAGCACCCTAGTATCATAAGGCATATCCATGACAATGTTATAACTCATTAGGCTTTTAATGAATATTTCCCTTTAACCATATTCAAACATGAATGTTTTTTTAAACCTAAATTATTGAATGGGGTCCTCACATTAAAAGTTTAGAGACCACTGTTATAACACAAGAGAGTTTTTGTTATAAGCCCTGAAACCTAGTGTAATGTCACAGTCCATAAACTGCACTTACCTGTCTAGTAATGAGCCCATCCAAATTCCATAAGCAAAATGGAAAAAATGTCAGGTAGAATCCTTCATTTCCCAGGAAAGCCCCAAAATGTGCCAGGTACAGCAATGACTTGTACTTGATATGTACAACAGGATTGGCTGGTGGGACTTGGCTGGAACTATCATCCTTAGAGACACAGCCATTGAGAGCATTGCTTGTTGAGTGACCGTTACATTCGAAGATGCTTCCTTTGCTGTGGACTCTGCTGGACGGCTCTATGACATGAAAAGCATTCTTGGCCCTTATTTTCGTTTGGCTGATATTCTTATTTTCCTCAGTATCATTATTATTGATTCTCTGCCTGACCCGGTCATTTGCCGTGATATGGTCATTTGCCTTGATATCGTGGTTGTCTTCTTGGGGTAGTTGGTCCACATGTGCCTCAAGCCCAGCGTCTCCTGTAACTCGACCGTTGGGCGTAGAAATTACTTGGTTAAATGATGTGTTTTTTCCCGTCAAACAGGGCGGTCGTGCCGCCAAATTGTGATGTTCCTCCTGCTCACAGTTGCTGTCGTCTGACGAATCTGATGAAAAGTTTTTCCGAGTTTGTGTTTGTTGATCGCACGTCACAGGTTTCTCCACTTCGACTCCGCACAACTTCTGTATCCTCGCTACGTGTGCAGGATCAGCCAAATATTCAAGCAAATTCATCTTCCTGGCCGGGTCGCGAATGTTTACAATGCGGAAATCAAACACTGCAGTTGCCGTACCCTATCCAAGTCACTAATTCTAATTCATTGACAAGTGAAACATAAAACTCCGACTAGTAGACAAGATGTGTCAGTCCATTTTGACAAAAACTACTACTAGGCCTACTTCATGGGTTACGGAATTCTAAAGATATTTTCTTGTCTACTTGAAAAATGAACGATCCGAAAATGCGAAATGAAAAGCCCCCACCCTCCAATGTTCTGTCTTGGGAGACTTCAGTTGGTCTGCTCGTTCAGTCGTATACCTGTGTTGGCCAATGAATGATGACGAAAATAGGTGTGTTGTGATATCGTAGTCGTCCTGCTGTTGACATTGCGTGGATTCGCCGAAACTGGGTCACTATTCCACTAGCGTTAAATCAAGCGCGAGGTTGACATCACAATTTCTTACAGAACATTGGCCCCACCTCGTCTGCGATTGTGATTTCAAAGCTAAACTAATGAGCTGTCATTCATCAAATTTATTTAGATTAGGTTACAGCACTAAGTGACACAGGTCAGCACCATGTAGTGGGCTATATTCTTACAAATTATTAAGCCCCTTCTCCGTAAATAATTCTGAAAAAGAATAGAACAGCCATCAGTGGTGACAATTGGGGAATAATTGTCAGTTTCTCTCTCTTTCGCCCTCTCTCACACATATTCTCTATTACAGCAGAATAAAATGTAAAAGCGAGGCTATACTTTTAAAAGGGGCTAGACTTTTTTTATACTAATATGTAAAGCTGGCAACTTTAAAAAATCCCGGAACATTTTATTTCTGTAGGCGACTCAACTTTATTGGGCGGTCAGTGGGACATCAAACTCAAATTTACCGTGGGACCTGTAATGCCACTTGAGTATAACTATAACTACTTTAAAAAAAAAAAAAAATCCCAGTGAGACTTACTTGAAAATTTCTAAAATTCGACGAACTGTCACATTAAAAAAAAAAAAATCAACTATGTCAACTATTTATTTTTAAACATTTAACTTTTTAAACAGATTTATAGCTCTAATTAACATACTATAATTATCTTTATTGGTTATATTGTCCATATTGAATTGTAGTAGCGAAGCCCACCCTCTACCGGCTTCTGAAAGCCACCCAGTCTGAAGTATTTTTACTAGCTGGTCCATTCATATGAATCGGTAATGCTGATTGCGCGGTGTATTTGAGAGTTTCCGATGAATGGTATCGTCTTCTATAGTTAAAGATGTTATCTGACCTTCCGATTACCAGTATCGATATTTTAACGCTATTGTTACCTGGCAGCCGGTGTCACATCCAGTGCAGTAGCCTTACTAGAAGGGAGACAATCGGTTAAATTGGTCAAAAGAAACGGAAGCAGAGTTATCTTTATGAGTACCGGTACTTAAACTTAAAGCATCTTACAAAACACTAGGATTTTTTAACAGTAAAATCATTTTTTTAAATGTTAAAATTATTTTAAAGCTGTAGAAACCTTGGTTCAGTTCTCTATTTTGAGAGATGTAAAAGAAATGGTTCAAATATTGAAGGGATTTATAAGAAACTAAGGTTTAACCAAGTGCACTTGTTTTGTTGACACTGGGTTCTGGTTATTGTGAGAAAATACCCGGTGGATATGGGCGCCCGCAGAAAACTTTCTAGGGGGGGGGGGAAAGGGGCAAAAAAATCGATTAACTTTCTAGAGGGGGGGGCAGAAATTTTTTAGTAATGTTTTAATGTAGTTTTAATTTACTGTAGCGTATTTGTATGGTGAACGAACGGACAGGACATCAGCTTAGTTACCTTCTCTTTATTTTCTCTTTACTTTAATAAATTTTGTGTCTATTTTTGTCTAAATTTTTTTATCCAATCAATCCAGGTGGGGTGGGGGGGCAAGCCCCCCTTGCCCCCCCCTCCCCTGCGGGCGCCCATGCCGAAGGGTCCAAGTGTTTCAAAAAAATTTCAACTTCTCATGTTTCTATATTATTTTCCACCCTTAAACAGTAGTCCTACAGACAGTCCTACAGACGGTCCTACAGACAGTCCTACTCCTACACCGTACCCGTGGCTCTTTATTGATCAATAAAATATTCGCCTCCCCGTAATGAAAAAACATAATTCTGAACCGAGTTCAGACTTCACTCTGTACTATTAATATAGGATTAATAAATATTATTAATATTAATATATAGGCCAAGACGAAAATAACATTAATATTAATATATGTCGCTTTTTAATTATAAGGCAAGTCAAGACAGTTGTTTGGTTAGAGTATTCAAGACTTAAATCCCTTGATTGTATAGTATTTATTTACAAAGAAGAAGAAAAAACGGGGGGGGGGGGGGTGGAAGTTAAATGGGCCTCGCATTCGTAGAGGCCAAAATAGTACACTTAAAATTATAACTATCAAAATATCATTCTTAATCGAGCTCTAAAACTTTCTCTCAGCAGTAGAGAATGGAAAACTTTAAAAATTCTCGTTCTATGAGACAGGATGAAAGCAAGAAAAATGTCAGAGCGAATGTCATGAAGAAAAAGTCAAACAAGATGACAGGAAGAAATATGTCGGAAAGAGTGAGAGGAGGGAAAATATTTCTGAGAGATTGGCAGTATGGAAAATGTCAGAGATAATGACAGGTAGAAAAATGTCAGAGAGAATGATGGAAGAAAATTTTAGAGAGGTTAAAAGAAAGAACATGTCAGAGAGAATCACAGGAAGGAAAATGTCAGACCTACATTAAAGAGTACTTTAGCAAGTTCCCTTACAAATTAAATAGTCAAACAGTTCGTGGGCGGGTCACTGTGGGTGCACAAACTTAGACGCCTCCAAACCGCCCCTCCCCCCTCAATTCTCGCCCTGATAAGAACTCTATTCTCTAAATAAAGATTCCAGTCTGTCTGTTATATTTGATAGTAAAACGATTATGAACGACAGTAGGGCTTCTATATCTTCTCAGGGACAAGTTGTAAATGTGGTGCCTCAATGGCGGACCACCGATCGATTCTCTAACTCCTGATCTAATACAATGCGACATAGTTGAAGATGGCTGTACTGGTGACTCCTGATCTAACACAATGATTATTAGTTGAAGATGGCTATAAGACACGTGGGTTCACTCTGGAGTTCTCAACGCAAGACGTTGTAAAGGTCAACATGACCTATTAAATCATTGTATAAGTTTATGTGACGTGCTTTAACATAATAATGTTTGTGTGCTACGGTAGATATATATATATTTTATAAAACCCCGATTATTATTTATACTAACGAAATCGAGCAAACTAATCAAATGATTGATGAAAGAATCGATCGCTCTGTCGTATTTGTCAATGATAGTCACACCAGGGCTTAGCTCAAAAAAGATCAATATCTAAACTTTAAAAATGGTACTATTTAATCATTTTAACAACTGACAAAATCAATTAACACTATCATATTGAAAAAAATCAATTAGCAACATCATATGGTCACAATCAATTAATATTATATTCCACAGTCAATTAATATCATATTAACACAATCAATTAATATCATATTGATTTTGAACAGGTGTGTTCCAGCGTAGCGACCCAATAATTGTCATTCAAATAAACTGAAGGTTGTGAATTCTGTTAAAAACGTTTCCACTTATCACCCATCTTCAGTATGCATGGTACGGTAAGCATGGTACGGTATGTATGGTACGGTATGCATGGTACGGTATGCATGGTACGGTATGTATGGTACGGTATGCATGGTACGGTATGCGTGGTACGGTAGGCATGGTACGGTATGCATGGTACGGTATGTATGGTAAGGTAAGCATGGTACATTATACATGTTACGGTATGTATGGTACGGTACGCTTGGTACGGTATGCATGGTATGGTATACATGGTACGGTGTGTATGGTACGGTATGTATGCTACGGTATACACATGTTAAATATACATGGTACGGTATGTATAGTACGGTATGCTTGTACGGTATGCATGGTAGGCTATACATGGTACGGTATGTATGGTACGGTATGCATGGTACGGTATGTGTGCTACGGTATGCATGGTACATTATACATGGTACGGTATGCATGGTACGGTATGCATGGTACGGTATACATGGTAGGCCCATGGTACGATATTCACGGTGGTGAAGTATGCATGAGAACTGGTTGTGTTCGAGGTCCATATCAAAGATAAGGTTTCAAAGAACATGATTTGAACAAACTCCATCATATTATCTAAGCAGATTACAAGCTGTTATTTAATTTTTTGTACTCGGTTAAATGATTCAGAGTGCAATTGGGGTGCAGGGATAGGTCACGATGCATAAAGTCACAGAGCTATTACCAATCCATCTCATGGCCATTGTAGTAGCCCCCCCCCCCCCCCCTT